AATGTAAACAGTTTACCGCCAAGTTCCAGCTGTATTACATATTGTCCTGTGGTAGCAGTTATCTCCTCGAACATAGGCGTGAAGTATTTTTTTTTCACTACTGTTGATTAGCAGCCTTCTGTTGTGTCTTCGAGTACACCTAATCACGTAGTAAATATATCGCTATATCAGTATTTTAATAATTCAATTAGAATTACAAGTGCTCACCGGTACCAGATGTGTTCCCCAAAAGTACACGCCTATAAATGCTCCTGTAGATGGTAAGACGTACGCGTCACGCACTGAATGTTCGGTATCAGTGATCTGATTGGAAACTTCTCGTGCATAATTACCCAAAGTTTGTGCCATAATCCATCTTGTGAATTTCACCGTTACTTAATTACGCAGAAGAATGACCACGTTAGTAAAGGCTGCAATTTTTTTCAAACCTACCCACTGATAGTAACAGCTGAGGCAGTATGAGTTACTATTTCAGCCATTACTAAACGAAGATTATAGCGACGAATGTGACAAGCACTTACTACATAAAGTTAGCCAGTACTGCTACCTATTTGTGACCATTTACTGCCGAGTGTCGCGAATTCGTGGCATACCGAAAACCTCCGAGAAAGCAAGCCACACAACGCTTGCCGGCTGTCAAGTACTCGCGGGAAACATATCTTTCACAATGAAAATTTTAGTGCCTTCTCGTGTAAGGTATTCTATGCTAAATGTGTAGATGCTAGATGTGTAGCTGATGGCGGAGTGCGCGAAGCACAAGCAACAACTCTCACTCCTTTGTTCTTTCATGTGTGAGTGACGAATTTCATTGCTCTGTCATTCTTTTTTTGTGTGTGTATGTGCACAAACCCAGGAGGTGGCGCACGACATGTTACGTAGTTTTGATGTACGTTTTTGTCCGAAGATTATCGCTTTTGTGCATACCTTAAAGTATGCATTTAGGAGAAATATTTTTTTAGATAATTTCGATTAAAGGTTACTCTTTAGAGAAGAAAAACGAAACAGTTTGTTTTTGACGGTTTCATAACTCAAGCATTTTGAGATAGTTGTTTAATCCCAGCCATCTTGACCTACTGGCCAACTGAATGTTATCTAACCTGGAACGACACCACACAGATACGAGCGAGGTCAGCGCAGCACATATGTACAGTGAATATATATTATATATATATATATATATATATATTATATTGAGACGGCAGCCATAGGACTTCAATGCACAACACTGATTCTCTAAAACTACAAGTGTCTCATCAAATGGAAAAGAACACTTTGAAAAATAGCCCGCGTGCAAGCATGCGCGCGCGGTCAGACGCTCAGTGCTTTTCCAAAAACGCCGACCGAGTTCATCCGAGAAGCAGTTCAATCAAAATCAAGCGCCAATTACTTTAATAAACACTTCACTAACGGCAACGCTATGGGTACTGTTACAATGAACGTGGGATGATTTCAGCGCTCATTTTTACTCATATATGAGCCTGTTTTATGAGCTATGTATAATTATAATAAAAGATAATCAAGTCTAACCGACTAAAACGAGACTAAAGGCGATAACAGATGAGGATACAGCGATAGACTTAAGTAGCTTGGTTACTGCGTGGACTCAAGATTGCACAAACATTTTGCCGTACTTTGCTCGTAAAAGCGCGTAAGCATCTCGATGCCGACCTTACAAAAAAACTGTGTGTTTTTCTTGTGCAAGACCGAATCTCTATAAAGATAGACGTATAAAACAAAATTATTATCTCTACGGTCGGTTAACTAACGCTATGACAACATAAGGTGATTGCTTAAATTCACCTTAATATTTCCTAATTCAATTTAGTTAGCAGATGTACAGTTACACTGAAATCAATTTATGTCTGACGATGTAATTGATTATTTTTTAGTGTCACGTGAATTTTAGTACCGCTAATATCACGCTAACGACGTTGTATTCCTCGGCTATAGGAACATATATAAGGCTCTATGGGTATACATTGGCGATTCTGGGCTCAGTACCTGCTGCTCCACTACCCGAAGAGCAACCGTGCAAAGCACCACAACTTGCAGACTGCTAATATACTTAAACTATCTGGATGCGTAGTACTAGCGGTGCAAAAAAAAAGTAATAGAACACGTTTCGTGATGGATTCGGTCAAATATATCGTTGTAGTGGAATTAAAGCCTTCTCTAGAAAATATGTAAAGTGACAGAGAAATTCGTAGAGTCAGAAAAAAAATTGGACTTTAAGTAAACTTCATGCCAAGCAAGCGCTTCTATATTCGTAGGATGAAAATTTCGTTGAGCCGTTGAAGGTACTGACGAACGCTTCAAAAAGGTGAATGATGCTACGCCGATGCAGCCCTTCAAGAACGTTCCAGGCAAGGACACAACCAGTTTTCTACAATAAGCTTTGTGGGTGTGCTCACACTCGATATAAAGTTGTTTCATCACAGCGCTTGCGCGTCCTGCGGGCTGGCTTAACCTCAGGGCAGGCTTTTGAAGGCGTAGTTAGCGTAGTCTCCACCATGAGAAGATGGCACTGTTTCTGCGGATGGCGCTGTTTCTGGCACTGTTTCTGAGTTTACGTGGGCGCGCGAGATATAGCACTCTTTCTTTTGGGGCCTGGCGCGCTTATCGATGGTCATCTCTCGTGGGTATGTCCATGGGGGCGTTTTCACAGCTAAACGTCGCCGACCTTGCATTCGCGTTTCGTTCAGGGGAACCGCCTCGATTACTTTACTGGGGAGAGTAGGGAGGACCGTGACAAGCGAGTTCTTTCAGAGGGGGAACGGATGCTGGCCCCCCTTGTGTTTTGACTATGCTTACTCCTTGGAGGGGGGGGGCAAAGGGGGGAGCAGAATTTTGTGGGGAAGGGGAGAGGCTTCAGCCACCATACATCTTGCTGGGACCGGCCATGGGTACATTGTGGTTTTATAGTGGCATTACAGTGTCCTCCTTGTCATGTTATTGTAGTTGTAAGATTAGGCTGCAAATTCGCCATTGCGTGAAAGGTGCTCATAAAAGTTCGTTCCACTATGATAAACACTGCATCTGTTTGTTTCTCCAGCGAGAGAAAGATCCCATACTGCTCACGCGCTTATGCGTTTTACACCACTTCGAAATGTTACTGCACGGAGTCCTTTTTTTAACAAGTATCTTGAGCATTCCTGAAGCATTCATAAAACTCCATATTTGACGTCCTTGAAAGGTCCATAGGATGCTTTCTTGGGGTCTAGCTCATATTAAAGAGGCTCCGCAACACCTTTCAAGTATTCTTGCGATTATTCACTAAAGGAGCTCATTGCCTCCAGCATTCACCACAAATATTTTTAGAATCTGTCCAGTAGGAGCGGTGTTACAAGAATCTGTCGCACACTGCAATTGCATTCTCTCTTCTCTCGTTCCGACGAAAGCACTGCAAGCTAAACAGGGAGGTATGGCATGGTGGAATAAAATCATTCACACAAGCCTCGCGACTTTGAGCATTTCTGCTCTTCTTGTTTTGGTCGAATGTGCTGCTTTCCAGTGCGATCGTACGCGCACGCTGTAAGGCCCCAGTAACGACCGAGCGCACCGTGCACATGCATATCAGCCAATGGCTGATACTTGGCCCATGACGTCATGGTTTCTGGGCCTGGTGCGTCATTTGTCGAGAGAAGATAAAGCCAATTTTTGCTGACTTAGTTTGCGAATTGATTGTAAAATCCAGGCCACGTGCTGCGCAATATTGGGCTCATGTGTTCTCGGTAACCTCGACTACCGTTCGGCAGCGTTTTCTGAACATGCTCAAACAGAGTTGCAGGGTCCTTTTGACACCATAAACAAGAGAAAATGAAAGAATGTTCTCCACACACAATAGGGTAAACTCAATAAAGGAAGAAAAAGCGTGGATCCAGTGAGTGCAATATGATCTTGAGGTGAAATCCAAACAATTTTTCAAAGGCGCGGGAAAAGCTGCCATTTGCCCTACTTGTACACATGGTTCAGTCGATAACGTAACATGGCACAAAAACCGTGTACTGTGGCTGCCAATATGTATGTATACTGTAACAATACTGATTGCTAACCTATTTGGTACTTTCTTAATGACATGCTTTGGCCGCGAATAACACAAGCAGAAGTATGTTCTTTGTGTGTTCTTTTACGTGTATTTGTGTTTTTGCGGCCAAAGCATGTCATGTATGTATACCGTGCATACTTCAAATCACATGTTATGGTTTCAAGTGTGAGTCGCAACGATGCAACGGACAGAGCGAGATACCTGATGTACACGTGATCTTCCAGCAATTTTTATTAAGGAAAAACAATATATAGAAGCACTGTCACCAGTAATGAGCCCGCAGCCGTACACATGAAACTCCTAGGGTTAGAATATGAGGTTTTTTTTTTCTCATGTACGTAAGTGAGCGTCGAATGATGTGTCTAGAGAGGTGCAAACTACTGTTGCTTCGGGCCGCCGGAGAAAGCATTGTGAAGTTTGCTGGAGGGCATGTGCTGGTGAGGCGTGAAGGGTTATTGGGCACCTTTGACCCCTATGCCGAGGCCACCTGCCATGCGTATACTTGCTACTATACTCTAAGCAATCCAATGGTAATGAAAATTAGCGCGTAGCCTTCTCTGCAATTCCAACAACGTTGTGTTGTCTGATATTGTACATTGCTCAGTTCACCTACGTACTTTCTAGTTGTCGCACGGCAAGAGAACCAAGTAGAACACTCTGCAATCCGACAGCTATCACACGCTTTGGCCATTTCCTATGTAGGACAGAGCTCTGTGAAGACATTCCACACAGTACGTTTAACAGGGTACTGGAGATACTAACCTTTACATCATAATGCTTATTGATCTTTATAAAAATATAAAATACGAATTGCACACATTATTATGCTTACATTTCTCAATCTTCCGCTTGTCATCGTCGCGCCTTACACTTCAAAATACGCTGAACACGCCCATTCAGCAATGCCTAATGATTTCACTTTCTGCTTTGTTTCTTTTTGGTCTCTCCCACGCAGCGTCCAAGGACCAGTGGGGCACATGGTACAACGGCCCCGTGGAGTTCTCGAGACTGGGTTTGATGGGCAAGGCAAGGAACCGACCTGGACTACCAGCTTCCAACGACGTTTGAACCCGGGCCTACTACTCAAGGAGCCGCCACCGCCGCCACTGTTCTTCCGCGAGCTACGTCCTCGCCGATCCTATGGATAGAGAGAGGGAGAGAGAGCCATCTTTGTCCGCCTCTAAAACAACCCCAAGTATTCTTTTTAAAAGACTGACTGCTCAAGGGTGCTCCCTTTCTGCCCACATAGGGCTATTCACTTATTGCCCATCTCTGCTACAAGACAGGGTTTTTTGTTGTTTTTTCCCTCCCGACTGCGGATCAATTCGCGCTATGTTTGAGAATGGCCAGGATAGTAATGCGTCATGTTTCCCACGACGGTTCGCCTGGCTTTACTCACACCAAGGTTGGCTGGCACAGAAAGTGCGAGCATGTACTAGCAGGTTCTAAAGGCAATATTGGCATTGAGTGGGCATTACTGAAAAACAGCGTTATTAGCAAGGATCTGTTGAACGTAATTCAGCTGCATGATTACTTGCCTTTGTTCATGTCTGCATAGTACACGAGTTGATTTAGCTGGATAAACAAATGAAGGCATTGAAAGCAACATGTAGTGTCTTGCTCGTATCCCTAGAGAGGCTAGAAGCATCTTTAGTATCACCATGACAATGCACAACTGTCGTGGTGGTATTAGCAGGTTGCTCTACAGCGGCACATCAAATCAACAGAGACATATCAATGCCCCCATAGCTCCACCCATATCTGCATTCCACAGGAGTTCAACCTAATCTTTCTGTGCTTTTTATCAGCGCTGGTAATTCTCGCCAACAACAATGCTGTCTAATATCAGAGACCTGAGAACCAAACACATCCTGGACATTCCCAGGTGCATCCGATGGACACGAACCAGTTCACGAGCCTCCAGCGCAAGATCTTCTTCAGCCTGTACACCGACATCAGGCGCCAGCCGAGCTCGGCGCCGAGCCGCTCCGGCGAGAAGTCAGCGCAGGCCTTGCGCATGTGCGAGGACATCTTCGTGAACCGCGAGGAGAACCTCGAAGGGCTGCGCGCTTTCCTTGGCGACCACGGCCTCGGCTGGCCCGACGTGCCCTTGGACTCAGCCGAGTTCAACGTGCTCGACGCCCTCGTGGGCCTCAGCCTGGACGCCGACGTGCACTTCTTGTTTCAGATGAAGCTGGTGCCCAATTTCCGGCAGGACGACCGGCTGATCCTGTCGCTGAGCCAGAACCAGGGGCTCATGCTCTGGTTCCAGCACAGGGTCCTACACCTGCCCGGCGCAGCCCTGGGCAAGATGCTGCAAAAGCTGGCGGCGGCACTGGGCAACTCGGGTCAGGACTACGCGTCCCTGGTCGAGGACATGGTCCAGATGGACACCGACCTCATGTCCATGTACTTCGAGTTCAAGGAGAAGGACCTCATCGGCTACTCGCAGTTCCAGGTACGACGCGTCGAAATGAAGTAAAATATTTATTTCTCTCGTCACTGTGGGCAGA